TTCCCAATAAAATTAAATAACCAAAATACCGTGAAAGATTTTTTTTATCAAAAATTATTTTTAATAATTTTTTTAGGTGCGCCCCATTAAGAAGATGGCACATACCAAATTTTTTATTTATACAATTTGTAAATAAATTAAAAAAAAAAATCAGAGGCATCGGATCTAAGATCAACGGTGACTGGCTCACTTGATCTAAATTGGAAGGTTGGATGGAGGAAAAGTATATATCTTCTATATTTAGGGGAAATATAGAAACCGTTCCCTATATTATTAACAGTTGACATACTGAAAGCAATCATAATTATCTGTTATCACTTTGGGTTGATTCATTGATATGATAAATATGGGAATTGTAAACCATTAAGTTTAAATGTATTTATGATGCCAAAGTATATAATTATTCTATCAAAAGAACTTGTCACTTGATTATATACTCATGATACGCTTAATAACGTTTATAGTGGAACAAAAACCACCCTAACATAACATAAAATTAGATTACTATTGCAAATAACAATAGAAACAACCCATTGAATTGTTTTATTAATATTTGAACAAAGAAAATCATGATATGGTCCTCATAATTTTAGAAAGGTGTGGGCATAAACTTCTTTGTCTTTTCTAACCTCTAACTAAACATTAGAACGAGGAAATCACACCATGATCATAGAAAGCTATGGTGGGCATGAGTTTTTTTTTTAACAAAAAGAAAAAAGGAAAAAAGAAAGAAAAAAGCTCATACCCACCTTTTGATAATAAAAAGTTATGTGTAGAAGCATCATTGTTGTTAAACTTGGGATGGACAATGATGGTGTGTGATTTGGTTCGCCTGAACTTTTAACTATTCTTTCAAAGCTTTCCATGGAATGAAAAGAATAATACAAGGAGCATTCTCTCCCATACATAGACAATAGTCTCATATTTAAGGATGACTTTTTTTTTTTCCACTTCTCGATATGGGACTAAAAACTCACTACCTCTCTATAGTAAATGTAATAATATATTTTTCAATATTATAGTTTTGAAATAATATTACTTCGAAATATCAACATGATAATTGTTAGCGTGGCCATATAAATCATTTGTTGGGATGATTTTTTTAGGCACATATTAATTTTTTTTTTTTTCGAGGTCATTTGTTAGATTCTAGAGATCACATCTCCAAAAACTGAGATAAAAATATATCTTTAGATTGAATTTTGTCCGAGGGAATTAATAGATAGTGTATTCCTACGGAAATAAGAAATCCTTAGAGATAACCCCGAGGAATAATCCTAAGATCTTTTTTTCTATTTTATTGCATCATATATATATATATATATATATATAGTAGGTATGTCTTTAGTA